ATCCCTCCAAGTGTCAGTCCTCTTGGCTCCTATCAGAGTAGTGACCATGAAAGTCCTCAATACTGCACATCATCCTCCACGTCCAAAACAGTTGCCATTCAGTCAACTGAAAGGAACTCAAGACCAAGCCCATGTTCCAGCAGAGGATGGGAATGCTCTGGAGGTAGAAAACACACTTATCTTGCTTAAAAGTGGAGCTTAACAAAAGTATAAGTGAAGGTCCTGCGGTGATAGGGTCAGAAGTGGAAATTTTAAATGGGATTGATCTCTTCTGTGATTTTTTTTCTGAGCTTAGCTTCACGATTCAGTATTTGACATAAGCAGAGATGTCAAATCTTCCTGCAGCGACGGAGAAGACAGGTTCTAGTGCTGTTCGCTGGTCTATGGGCAGAGAAAAGAGATGAAATTCCTTTGGAGCTAAAGCTCTGAAATATGCTTGTAAGGAAGATGGAAATTCCCATCCCAACACTTTTTTTTTCTCCTTCTCCCTCTGTGAGAGGGAAAGGGTTTTTTTCACCTGACCTTGCCTGGACATGGGCTCATGCCGTGTGATTGACCCAGGAGCACTCTATTTCCCACAGACTCTGCTTGAATGTGCAATGCACTTCCAGGTCCTGGGTGAGGGTGTAAAGTTCAGCTAAGGATCACTCTGTTTAGCTGTGCTACGGGCTCATAATCCCAGTGGGTCAAAATGTTTAGAGTTAAAGAGGTTACGGGCTTTTCTGAGGGAGTATTTAAACTCCATCTGTCAAACCACTTACATAGAAGAAATTCATAGACTCTGCCAGCAAATTACTGTTTTCTTGTATTTAATTTAGCAGCATGTATTGTTCTCATGGTGCCCTAAGAGAATATTAATCTGTGGCAAATTTATGTGTATAAAAATTATAAATGCTGGATTTATAAAACCAACACCAATAACAAAATTCAAGGAGACATGTGTTGATGAGAGCCTCACCAAGTCTCTTGGCAAAGCTTTCAGAATAGCTTAAGGGCTTGATCTTTTCAGAAAGCTGTTTAAGGGACTTGAAACCTGCTTCATATTCAGCTTAACTGTAAAACAGAAAAGCCAACCCAACAACCTAACACTTGCAGACTTTGCATATTAGAAGGAGAGAAATAATAATATAAAATAGGCAGAGCTTTCTCTCAGGGTCTAAACAAGTTTGAAAATGAGGAATTTTGGTATTGCTCCCCGACATCTGTGTCACGTACTGAAGTGCACAGCAATAGCGAGTCTGATAAATTAAGGGCTTCACAGGTTGTTTTCTTTCCATTTACAGGAGAAAAAGCAGTGCAGGAACTCAAGTGACGTCTTGTGTGAGACAGAGACCACTTCAGTTTCTCTTAAGTTGCTTTGAAGAAGGTGAACCTACTGCCAATGTTTGACAAGGGAAAGGTGTAAGGCTGTGGTTAAAGCAATGACTAAGAGATGATAAGCGTTGCTCTAATGTTTGTCATTGAAATACCCAAGCTGAGATGGCTTTCCCACTCTCTACCTTTTTGATAAAAGAGGTATTTCTGTTGACTGAATGCAGGTCTGTTACAAACAAACTGAGACTGAAGATGGCAGTGGGGTGTGTGTGTGTGAATAATCCTTACTGGAAAAAGTTCTCCCATGAACAAAGGAGTGTTGAAACTCAGGTTCCTCCAGGCTTAGCTGACCTTGACAATCCCTGCTGTAACAACACAGGCCAATCTCACCTGCAAAATACTCCATATACACTGAAATACTTAAGTTACCATTTCCCTATCTCTAACCCTTTCTCCCTCCCCCTGCTACTCCCTATGCATCTCCCATCCTTCCTCCAGACCCCCACTGCAACAGCTTCACCTTCCCCCCTTGGCTTGATTTTAGGTATACCAAGTAACTGCTGCCTAACTGGGTGAACAGCAGCTGCCTTTCCTCGTGCTAAAAGGAGGTCTGTCCCCTGTTCCTGTTGTGACTGCTGCCCTTTAGCACAGGGAGGGAAAACTGGGCAGTGGACTGAAAGGTGACTGGGAGCAACCCCCCCGGAAAGTTTGTGTGTGTCTGTAAGTTTCACTTGGAATATTCAATAAGAGAAAAACAGCTTAAAAAAATAAAGGCAACTTTCAATACAAACCGTTTTCTCAAGCAGATAATTGGAAACATGGGGAGAGGGGGAATGTGAGATGGTTAGTTTGGGTGTTTCAGTTTCTGATGCTGGAAGATAACAGACAGGCGTTCAGTACGAAGCAGCATAACCGTACTAACCTTGGTACTTACATTCTTGGTTTTCTTTAACAGCTAAATAAATCAGACACACTCCTAGGACCTTCACCAATCATAGAAAAAGAAAATGTTTATTGGGGTGATAAACAGCCAACCCTGATGTGTCCCATCAGGTAGGACTGGCAAAAAGAGCAGAGGGAAAAGAAAAATCACAGAGCTGTTGAGACTGCAAAGGACCTCTGGAAGTACTCTGAAATGCCTAAATATTACAACTGAAACTGAAGGCAGCATAAACACTTGGCTGAATCAAGCTCAAGACTGTTGCTTGCTTCCCAAATGCACAGCGGGGTGTGCAATTTTGTTTGCTGTTTATTTTGGCAGCAGGACTGGTGCCGCTGTGGTTATCACAGAAGGAGCAAGAAGGGCAGAAGTACCATCCTGGTTTAACATTAAGTGCAAGATGAACACCAAGCTGCTCAGCATGTTGCAGGGACTAGCAAATGCAAGAAGAAAGGCAAGCTCCAGAGAAGTCTGCAACCCATTTGTCTGGAGCTCCACCACCTCTTCGTTATCAAGTTTCCAGACGGAGTCTCTGTCTGCTGCTTCCATAAACCCCTTCCCACCCACACACATTCCTTTCCAGCAATGCTGCTTTATTTGGCTTATCATTATCTTCTCATTAAATCCATTTAATTGGTGCATTTAACTCTTTGTGCTCCTTAACGGTGCCTCTGATGTCACTTGTTTACTGAAAAAGCAGTCACAGTCTCAAGTATGACATTTCAAAACAGCATCTAAATAGAGAAAGGTCCTGTGCTATTGCCATTAACTCACTTCATAAAACACTAGGCATGATAAGGCAAGCTGGACTTCATGAGCTGTGAGGCTGTCCAAGGCAAAGTCTACACACCACCAGGGTATTTCCAAAGTCTGCTTTTCCATAAGCTCCTTTAAGACAACAAAGCTGCATCCCCCTGCGATGAACTATATGCGGCTTTTACTGAGTCTAATGCAGACCAGAGGGAATCCTTTCCACACTGCTCAAAGCACAATTAGTTTACCTCATACATACGCTACACCTAGTCTAAGTTTTCATAGCCAGATCTACCACGAATATAAGGAGGAAAATCCCAAGTGGGAGAGGTGCCAGCAAAAACCCTAATATAATTACACCAGGAAGGAAAAAATAAGATAATCCTTTGGCAATTTGATTTTAGCTGGGCAACTGCTGCAAGCTTTACACACAAAAATGTACCAACCCCAGGGCACCACCAGCTGCATCCACACTGGGAACTTTGTCAGTATAAGCGCCGCCACCCCCCTTTTTATTAGTGCAGCCAAAATCTGCCTAGACACTGTCAAAGGCAGAATGCTGCTTTGATACAGAACAGGAAGCTTTCTCCTTCTCAGGGAGGGTTTTTGCTGGGGGACTGGGGACAAGGAGAGGCTTTCTTCCCAGGGTTTTGCTACTCAAGACTTATTTTTCTACTGAATAAGTAGTCTGAGCAGGTAAAGCAGCCTTCATTGGGCCTGGTACCCACATGTCAAAACATCAGAAGAAGTGCAAAAGGCTAGACCAGTTAAAAGAATAGCTTTAGGACCGTGCAAGGGTATAAGCACCTACGTATCCTCTGCCAGTGTTCTTTTGGTCAGAGCACAGCACGGTACTTGCTAGCAGAAACCTGTTGCACAGGTATAACCAAAAAGTAAAGGCTTTGCTTTATTCTCAAACCCATTTGTTACTTCTGAACAGAAAAAGTGAAGCCCCTCTAAACACAGGTTGCAGGAGGGAAATCAGGATGTAAAAAACACCAGACAAACATCAAAACCCCCTGTAATGCAACGCGTGCTTAACCCAGAGCAGAGCTTTTCTGCAATACCACGCTCCTGGGAGCAAGGCACCTTGCTGAGTGTCTCATTGTGAGGCTTTGGCAGAGAAGAGTCTCCACTGCCTTGCCTTGCCTTGCCAACAGAAGCAGGGCCTCGACATTGTCAGTGAAAACACTGCGTTTCTGACATGGTAACAACATGGGTTAAAGTTCTGTCATGGACCAGGCGAGTTGTAGTTTTAACACGTTAACATGTTCTACCAGGGGAAAAGCTGGAATATTTTTAGCATGGCCTGAGTGTTTGTCTCTGCACTGCTCTGGCCTTTTTTGGAATTTTTAACTTTGGAAACAAATACAATACCCTTTGCAATAGTGAAACACCACCGATTTTCTTTTATTGTTTGCCACACAGACGACTGCGAGTTGTACTCCTGAAGACATTCATGGAGAAACATAAACCAGCTACATTTGACACAGCTTTCCCCTTTCACAACTTAAACATCACTTACTGCTTCTCTAATTCCTGCCCATGCTCCCCAGCCTTTCCTACTTACATGCTTAGTTCTGACAAAACCCCAGTGGAGAAATCATTCTTCTTCATTACGAAATGCAATCCCAAGTTGTTGCTTGAAGGCATTGCCCCTTGCTCTCCTGTTTGAAATGGCGCGTGCACACCAAGAGGGGTCGATGAAACACACTGCAAACTGCATCCCATGCAGCTGCCCCTCACACAGTCCCATTTCCAGGATATGCCAGGGACAAGCATCTGATGACAGTATGTTTGTTTTTAATCACAATAAAACCCCACAGCTGCATTTTCCCCTCCACCGTGCCGTGCTGGGGACAGAGCCCAGCAAGTCAGAGTTGGGTATAAAGAAGGAGATGGAGTTTAAGCACAAAAGTAACAGGAATTGATGCAAGGCAAGTCTGAGGACTGAAAGGAGAATCACATGGAGAGAAGGGGGGACTCTACCCATTTCAAATAATACCCCCTTCCTCCTCCCCTCTGCCTGACACTAGCATAAGCATGGAACAGAGCTGTAAGACACAGATGTCAGACAGTCCACGCTGCACACAGCTGCAATCAGCATGCCCAGGGACTGGCAATCGCCAGGCCACACAAACAAGTCCCCCAGGCAAGCAAGACTCTTGAAAGGATTAAAGATGAGAGTCTCTCCTGTGGGTGCAACAAGGAGACTGTGGTTGATCACTTGCTCCCAGCTGAAGAGAGAACAAGCCTTCTGTCTGACATGGTTCTTCTCTTCCTCCTCTTCAGAGACTGGCATTACTGCTGCTTCTGGAGTGGGGGAGGAGATGGGGCAGGGGGGCTGCACTTGACGACTCAAGTTCATCTCTCGGGCAGCAGGACGAAGAAGATAGCCTTGAGGAAGTGACCAAAGCTGCAAACAGCGGACACGAGCCAGTGGGAGCGGAGGCTGGGGTCAGTGCTCACCACGCATTTTGTGATGTCTGCCTATAGGGGAGGGAACAGAGATCATCAGAGAGATGCCTCAAACCACCTCAGCCACCAGGGCAAATTCTCCTGGCCCCACAAGACCTCATCATCACTGCTGTATTTCCACTGTGCCACACTGTCAGCAACACAAATGCTTGCTCTGACACTTCATAGAATCATAGAATAGTTAGGGTTGAAAGGACCCTAAGATCATCAAGTTCCACTCCCCACCTCCCACTAAACCATGTCACCCAAGGCTCTGTCCAACCTGGCCTTGAACACTGCCAGGGATGGAGCATTCACAACTTCCCTGGGCAACCCATTTCCGTGCCTCACCACCCTCACAGTAAAGAACTTCCTCCTTATATCCAATCTAAACTTCCCCTGTTTAAGTTTTAACCCATTACCTCTTGTCCTAACTCTACAGTCCCTAATGAAGAGTCCATCCCCAGCATCCCTATAGGCCCCCTTCAGATACTGGAAGGCTGCTATGAGGTCTCCACGCAGCCTTCTCTTCTCCAGGCTGAACAGCCCCAACTTTCTCAGCCGATCTTCATATGGGAGGTGCTCCAGTCCCCTGATCATCCTTGTGGCCCTCCTCTGGACTTGTTCCAACAGTTCCATGTCCTTTTTATGTTGAGGACACCAGCACTGCACACAATACTCCAAGTGAGGTCTCACGAGAGCAGAGCAGAGGGGCAGGATCACCTCCTTCAACCTGCTGGTCACGCTCCTTTTGATGCAGCCCAGGATACGGTTGGCTTTCTGGGCTGTGAGTGCACACTGCCGGCTCATGTTCATTTTCTCATTGACCAGCACCCCCAAGTCCTTCTCTGCAGGGCTGCTCTGAATCTCTTCTCTGCTCAACCTGTAGCTGTGCCTGGGATTGCTCCGACCCAGGTGTAGGACCTTGCACTTGTCATGGTTGAATTTCATAAGGTTGTCATCAGCCCACCTTACAAGCTTGTCAAGGTCCCTCTGGATGGCATTCCTTCCCTCCACTTCCCTTCCACTGTGAGTTATAAAATCGGGCTCAAGAGCTCTACAAAACTTTCCTCATTCTGCATCAATAAAATTAAATATCCCCTTTCTTCACCCCTGGGGAAAAAAAATACTACAGCAAGACTGTCAAGCATTTTCCATTTAGAATAGCTCAGTAAGAGAAACTTTTATTCCCTTTTCAAAAGAGCTAGGAAGGCTTGGCAGTATCAGCATTCCCACCCTTTTCTGTAAAGTAAGATGCTTCCCAGAGGTTGTCCTGTTCAATATCAGCTCAAGTTGCTTGCACTTTTTCTCTTCCCTTAATGTTTTATTTGGAATTCGTTCAAGCAAGCTAACCCTCAATTTAAATCTAAAGCAATGCAAGCTTTGTTTGTGGAAATATGTGTGCTGGCAAAGATGCCTCCCCGACACGTGGGCCAGATTTAAAGATCGCTTGGGCAGCTGGCTTCAAGTATTAACAAGAATGGAAGCTGGCCTGCAATGAATAAAATTGACAACAATCCAGCAAATTCATGAAGACAGGATCTCAGCTGGCATTGGAAAGAAAAGGTGGAAAATATCTGGAGGGTAAAGCAAAGGGGACAGAGGTAGATAGAAAACTGCATCTTCTGGTGGGGGAAACAAAGTTCCTTCAGCGATATAACTGAGTTTGATTAAACTCCAGGCTAGCACAGGGAGACAGACAGACTGTAGCTCTGTAACACTCTCAACCCTGAGATGTTCCTGCTGTAGAACAGGACACAAGAGCTACTGAATACAATAATCTTTACCAGTATTTCGTTCCAGACATTGAGCCTCACCTGACCAACCTTGGTAATAACCAGAACAAAAGGTGACTGAGGGGACAAATCCTCATGCCCGGGTAGTGAGTACAGCTGCACTAACCAATTCCACCATGATCTTCAGAGCAAAGGTCTGTTGACAGCAGTCTTGAGGTTGGCCTCCCACACATTTCCTCACGTTTCACACATGGAAGTCTGAATGGCTGGCATGCTCAATCACCCTGCCCTGCTGTTCTTCAGGGATCACTAGGAGATGCTGAACCCACAAAGAACTGAGAAGTGGAGACTGCAGGAGGAATTAATACAGGCATGAAAGGATGGGCAGAAACAGGGTGACAGAAGGAAATGTATTGTAGAGGGAAGTAAAATGGGTCTGCCTAAATGTTTTCAGTGGTGGCTTAGCAAAGTCACCCTGTTTGCATTCGAAAACAGTCTGACCTGATTCACCCTACCCAGTTTTAGGGACCTGCACCATGTCATTATTTAAAATGCAGCTGTGTCAAGCTGTCCCTTTAGTAAGAGAAGTCATAATGTGCAGTTACCAGCCTGAACATGTATTTAGATGTTAAAGCAGCTGAACAATAATAAACCTAAGCTCTAAACGTTTTAAGTGCCTCATGTGAACCAGTGCAAGGCCCAACTATGCACACTAGGTTGATTATAGCTGCAGAAGGTTGACTTCCAGATGAGAAAGTGTGGACTCCCTACTAAAGGCAATGAACTCGCTGTGGTTAATCACGAGGAGCTGCAGTCAGAAGAACTTAACAGATTTGCATTGTGCTTGCTTAAATAAACAGAATTGCTCAGCTGTTTAACAACTGCCTCAGCTATTGTTATCCAAATAAAGCATACCTGATAAGCCACTGGAACTGAAAATAAAACAGATCTTTTGTGAGGCACTGATAACATGCTGCAATGGCAGTTTTATCTTCACCTGTTAATTGTTCAAACGAGTTCAAGTCCCATGCTCTTCTCTGCAGCTAATGTATGTAACAGATGCTGAAAAAAAAGTAATAAAAACCCCCTTTCCTTTCTGCTGAGGCTGCAAACTCTCCCCAGGGAGAGACGGTGCCTTAAAAGGTGAAACATTTCTTGTTTCTCCTAAGAGATTTGTTTTGGGTTGGGCTTTGAGGGATAGGGTCATTCTCCATCCTATGGAGGTGGTATGGGAACCTGCTGCTAAGTGGTTCAAATGCCTTTTCAAAGTCTCCACAGTGGCTTTTGTGAGACAGCTTGGAGCACAGTGGCTCCTCTTGGCAGGCTGAGCCTGAGCTGATGCATAAGAGATGGGGGCTGCGTGTACAGGGGAAAGGAGGATTCCATACCAAGACAAACTAACAACCAGCAGATGAAAGGGTTCCCACTACAGAGTGATTTGTCTGGCACATTTGTAAACAAGGCTGGGAAATTTCACACTGCAGTGCCTGGATCAAGAGGACCATTCAGGGAAGCACAGCCCAAGATGGCAAGAGGATGAGCAGCCTTTCCCCAGACTGAAGGAACCACTCATTTCTAGAGGGAAAATAACTCCTTGTTGCAGCCCAAAATTGCTGATAAGAGTACTGGAGAGAGGCTGTAATCAGCACAACCCAGCAGCTCTTACAGTTGCTTAGCTTGACAGGGGGCAGTGAGATTGGCTTCCCTTTCCTAGGGCCAGATCCCAAGAGGAAGCAGCATGTGTTTAGCAACTTCAATAGAAATATGCTTGTCATACAAACCGGGATCACGGGCAGAAGGACCTAGCCATGGACAGGACTTACCTACTCACCTTCAAGGAACTGCTTCTGGTCTGAGGTTGGGTTTTGTGGCTTGTTTGCTATGCAACAAACTTTCAAAATATGTCCATTTGGAACTATCAGAACACCCAGTTTTGAATTCTAATAATGTAATACAGAAAATAAAACAAGATGCCAACTTGGTAAGACACGCCTTACCAAAAGAAAGGAAAAAAATTAGTTGAAAACTAGGAGACACATTCCTATGCAACATTTCAATTTTAATGAAACTGGATATTTTCCAAAGGAAAAATTGTTTCAGAGAATACATTTCAACCATCTCTACAGGTACCCAGTTAAAGTAAACCTCAAATGATAGTGAGGCAGGGATTTCAAAGGCAGGAACAGTGCTACTTAACCGGTTGCTTTCCCAAGATTTCCTCTTCACCTGCCTCAGCACGATTATTTGTGCAAATGCAAAATTAAACACATCAGGACATTCAAATTAGAGGTCACTTTTCAGCCCAATCAAGCAGTTCCCTGACTCAGCTGAGAACACAAAGTCACATAGCTTTAGACAGGGCAAGGACGATTTAAGGTGGCAATCACACTTAGCAAATGCAAAGGATCCAAATTCAGAACAACGCCACTTTTCCAGCTGCCCTTTATCAAAAAGGTGCCTTCACTCCTGGAGAAGCTGGGTGACTGAATTAGGTACAGGCACATTTGGGGGGTCTCAGCACAGAGAAGCAATGTTCAGTTTGGAAAAAGACATCTCTCTGGTCTGCGTGGGGCTGGGAGCCTGATCGTTTCCTGATAGCTTGGGAATAAGCCCTCTTCTTGGAAAGGAGGGGATTTGCAACTGTGGCTCAGTTTCTAAAAGAGTGCATACCTTGGGAACAAGATGTCCCATGATTTCAATGGTGGCATATGGCAATATTTACCTCCAGGCAGCATCTGCCAGCAGTACAAAGTGCTTTTGGTTATATTGCTCCAAGAAGAGTCTATATCCCTGCCAGAAAGGCACAAAGACACTGGTACAGCTGTACATTACCCAACTGCTCACCACTTACATAGCCAACCAGTCAGCTCGGTCTCCTGGGGTGGTCACTAGAAAGGTGTCTGGCTATTTCACAGCACCAAAGTAAAGCTCTTACTCTGAACCATGCTTCACAACAGCATTGTATTTTCCATTGGGTATAGAGAGAACCAAAGAAATCAGATGCTTAAAGCCATATGATATGGAATCCAAACCAAAGCAGAGCAGCAGCATGCTTTACCCATCATCTCAGAGCAGTCCTATGACAGAGCCAGGAGCCCTCCCACTGTGGATGGGTGTTATGAGTGCCCTTCAAAGCATAAGTGCGCTACAATTTGAGCTACTTCAGAAGTATTCATGGAACACTCTAAAGGTCAGGGAATGGCACAAACTGCTGAGTTTCAATATCCCTTTCAAATTCCTTATGGTGGTAAGTCACGTTAATGTACTAAGCTTTGACCTGGAGAACCATGGAGCAGATGAAAGGGGAACTAAGTTGGCGGGCCTCATTTTTTTCAGTTTCTAGAAAAGAGCTGCCCAATAGAATGACGCCTCTTTACAGTCTCTGGCTATGACTGCCTGGCAGCTCCAGAGGTGTGCAGGTCAGGAACAGAATAGGCCCTGGTGAGTCAGGATTGAATTAATCTGGTACAGCTACACAGGAAGCTGAGGACCAAAGCAGTTGATGCTGTCAAGGACAGGACCAGAAGGCAGCCCAACAGAGGTGCAAGTAGGACAGTGGTGACTGTGGAAGAGAATCTCATCCAATGTTTTTCTGCTCAAAGCTGCAGTGGGGGTACTCTGGCTTTCATTAGCTGGGATACTTTTTGGTCTGCATGTGTGGGATCAAGCTCAGTCAGACAGCACCTCTTACCCAGCCTCCTCTCCTCTTCAGCCATGTCACCAAGGTCTTGCGGACAAACTCTCCCAGGCAATCTACGATAGTGTGAACCATGGCTGGCTGTGCGTGTCGCACACAGTCCACTGACAGGCCAGCTGCCACAGCATAGAGAGACACCACCTTGCCCCATGTTATGCCTGTGAAAAGAGGACAGGTCATTCAGATTTAGACATGCACACATAGCTCGGACTTGAATAATCAAAGGAAACAGCTCTCCTTCATTACACATGCCTACTGCATGTGTGCAGTTCCAAGTTCAGGTGCAGCCACACTTCTGCATGCTCTCCAACATCTGGGAAAAGAAATGGTAGGGTACCAGGAACACCTGCAGAAGCAGAATTGAATTATCTGACTTGGACATGGTTTGTCCCCCTCACAGCACTGGCTACACACCTTTGGAGAATGCAGCCCAAAGGTATCAATGTGCGCCACCATGGTTTATATTGTTATTAATGCTCAGCCACACACATGATGCACAGGAGGCAACTGAATTCAAAGAGTTTGAACAACCTGGGGATTTGCCACCAGCACACCTCTTAAACACCCTTTAGACAAAGTGTTCCTGTTGTTTTTTTTTTACATCAGAGGAGACTGTTCCAATATGACGTGCAAAGCACATGACATAGGCATCTCCAGTCTGTTCTTCCATACCACAAGAGCAGAAAAGGGAGGCAAAGGTACAGGGCCAAGGGGGTTGGTGTTCTTGATGCAAGGAATACGACTCAGTCACCATTTGAAAACAGGGTAGCTTCAAGTATTTGGCCACTCTGCCCATAATCGTTAACATTGCATATCCTGTCCCACTGAAGGCAGTGCAGGGACAGAGCATTAGTCAGTTATCTCCTAGAAAACAGCCTTCCTGCTAGGCTGACCTGCCAGCAGTGAACGCTCCATGGAACTTGTCCCAGCAGCAGTCATCTTCCTGTTATGGCTAGCGATGAGCGCTCAAGCTCAGTTCTGGACAGGAGCCACCCTCCCTGGGTCTCCCTCACAATTTGCCAACACCACTGGCCATAAACTGCCCATACTTAAACGTTGCAGCCAGCACTCCCCCACCAGGCTTTTATCAGTGACCTGGAAACATAACCCTTCTGCACCCATGCAGAACTACCACAGCCCAATGGCACATGGATTTCCTTTGGATCTGCTAGCTAGCTGAATTCCCCCTTTACTTTATTATCTGGAATAGCAGTATTTGATAAGTAGACTATGAAGTATTTTACAGTGTTAGGTCTTTATGGAATCCATCCAAGGTCTCTCTCAAGTGTAGTCAGAAGCCAGGTGAAGTTTTGGTATTTAAAAACCACACAAACCACTTCTTGCTGGGTTGCAACAAGAAAGAAAAGAGGCGAGAGGAAGGAAAGATTTGTTCAGTCATTACATCTAAGGACCAGGAGGGACTAAATACACAATCAGAAAACTGGATGTGCACAGCTGAGAAAGCAAACCCTTAAACATAGTCAAAATGAGGAGTCTCTCTTTCCTTCATTGCACTCCCAGATCCCCAGGCACCCTGATCCACCTCTTTGGAATGGAACTCCAGACTCCACACCACAGCAGAGCTCCTCACATTCCTTTAAAATATGCACAGATTTCATGTGCTTTCCAAAATCCTTCCACTTAGTGCCTCAAAGGGACACTCTCAGTAACACCTAAGAGAAGCTATTGAAATGTCCGCCACAGCAACGGCTTGTTAGACTGAAGAAAACCCATCCAGCATTCCAAAAAAGCCCTTTTGCACTGATGCAAGGCCAAAATTTCCAGACTGCTCTTTTGTAGCTTTGCAGCAACAGTAACAGCAGTAGCTCGGAGTCCCTGGTAATGCTCTGTCCTTCTCCAGCGCTATCTCCAAGATCAGAGGAAGTTACTAATATAGCTAAATTGGCTGTTATTCTGGTTTTAGTCGCTCCTGCGGTGTCCCTTCCCAGAGCTGTCACTCAGGAAGTTCACTGCCTATGTGGTATTCACACTGTTTATCTGTCTTTCTTGCATTGTGTCACCATGACAGCCAGCACAACGAGCCAGAAAGAGACTATGAAACCACATGAGAAAATACTAGGCAGAAGGGTTCTCCTGACAAGAAACAGGCTGTCCTGTTGCAGGTCAATACATCTCCACCCAATTAAAGAGGGTGTAACAGGTTACCTCTTGCTGAACAGTCTCCTGGCCCAGAGCCTCAGCTAGCTTATACTCAGCCTTAGTGTCAGTTTGTACAGTTCTCCATCCCTGCAGAAACGTGGCTCCTTGCATCTTGAGTTACATGAACCAAAGTTACCCAGAATTCCAGGGAAGAGTTCACTGGCTTATTCCCAAGCTCTTACCGACAGTGCTCTTTCTTAGGTATCTGAAGCAAGCCTGTTAGCTTTGAGGTATTTACATGGCAGTCACTAAGACTGCCAGGGAGTTGAAGACACCCTGCTAGAGAGAGCTGTAGTCTTGGTTAGCTTTGTTTTAAACCCAAGTTTCTCTTTCCAACAGAAGTGTATCCACAACCTATGAAAGATAAAGGCTCAACAGACCCATGATTTCCTTAACACTCAGGGAAGCAGTTTGCCCCACAGATGTGTCAGTTCAGGCATCTCTTCTGAGGGAGGACAGAGAGAAAGCCCTTCAGGTCTAGCTTCCCTGCCAAGGCTGCTCAACAGCGGTGCTTGCTGCAGGACTTGTGCAAGGTGAACGCTTCCTCAGGACACTGACAGAGCCCCTCTCCCTTTCTCACAAACAGCAGAAAGAGAGCAAGCTGTTGGCCAATGCTCATCATAGTGATAGATGTGAACGGGCCAGCGGTCACTTTCCATGATCCTCCTCTTTACAGATAATTCCTATAAGGGTCAAACCAATTTGTCAATCTGCTTTTCCTGCTGCTGGCAGAGCTGGGCCACAGGGGTGGGAGAGGAGGAAATATCCTGATTTCTTGGCATGGAGACCCCTATTGCCACTGCTGGAGGCAAAAGATGGAACCAGCCTCTGGCTGGGCTCCTCACCTGAGGCAGGAAGGCACAGCTTACGCTCCTGTTCACACAAGAAGTTGTAGGAGAGCCCTCAAGCAAGGGAAGAGCAGACACCTCTAACAGCTGCTCTAGACCAAAGCTGGGCCATGCCCGTGCCTGGTTCCTCTGCCCCGGGAGGGCTCCAGCAGCCACCCAGCCCCAGGCAGGGCAGGGGAACAGCTGCAGCAGCCCCCATCTGCACTTTTCCAGCTCCATTAACTTTTCTCTCTCAAGAACTCCCTTGGCAGGGTAGAGGAGTGCAATCGACCGAGAAGGCAGTGCCTCTGCCCAATGTGATGACCAGGCCAGGGCCAGGGGTCCCTAGCTTCATGCATACGCTGGCATAAGCTGGAATTGCATCTGCCCAGTGCATATAAGCAGAGAAGACACATTGTTTTGCTCAGAATTCCTCAAAGGCCTGGCTGCCATCCACACTGGGTGAAATGAGCACTCATCACCCAGCAAGACAATCTACTCGCAGCTTCCCATTGTTTGGACCAGCATGCACAGGAGCTAACAAAAAGAGGGAATGGAAAGCTGGCCCAGAAAGGAAAAATGAAAACATAGAAAGTTCTGAGGGATCTGCTCACAAAGGTGGAACAAAAGGATATGGAAAAAGTGAAAAGTTGCTTAGAAGGCATTTTAAAAAATAGGAAATACAAGTTGCAGACCCAAGGCCAGTCATGGAGCTGGAGGTATGTAAACACTGGCGAGCCCAGGGGAAACATGAATTAGCAGAAGACTGCTCTTGAAAGCGTTCCTGCTGCATATGAGCTTGTCTGTCCCAGGGGAGAGCTGAGGAAGCCATGAGACACAAGTGTTCGGAGCACCGCACTATCCAAGGTTACTCAAATAAAGTTCCCCCTGCTCCACACAGCACCAAAGCCTAACTTGCAAATCAGACCTAAGAGGAACATGATCAAGGGTTACATTTCAACCACTGGGAGAACACAGCCAACACAATATACTCTCCTCTGGTAGAGAGAAAGAAGCCCAGAGGGATGTGCACAAGGCAGGAAGCTCAGCTCATAAGGCCTAAATGATGAGGAAGCCGTGGGATGCATTCTAGCAGCATTTGCTGCTGCAGGGGAAAGTTCTCGTGAGAACCATCCCTGTTGTACAGGGTTCACTTGAGCCCAAGCACTCATGATTAAAAAGTGACAAGCAATGAATACAAGCTTTGCAAGAGCCCACATCCCTGGCAGCTCTTACCAACCGGAGGAAACTCTTTCCTTTAGGAAGGAAAAATGCATCTCCCTTTTCTACTTCTGTTTTTCCACAAAGTGACCCCTTCCTTCTGGGATTTATTTAAACAGCTAATGTAAATGCCAGCTCAGCCAGGCCCCAATCCAAAGCCTGTTAAAGTCAGTGGAAAGTCTCCTGCTGGCTGCAGAGCAGCTTTGGACCACACACCACAACCAGTGGTATTGTCCCAGAGGTGATGCTGCTGCAGATCCTTCAGCATCCAAAGCAGGTCTGGCTTCTGCAGTACCAGTCTCCAAACAGATGGACTCTCATCACCCTCAGTAACTAACAGGGAAGCAAAATACAGCTTAAGCCTTACCATGCTCTGTGAAATGCACACTTTCTGCCTGTATTCTCAGATGTTTATCTTAATGTAACTGGGATTCAAGCTACACCAGAAAAAAGCCAAACCTGAGATAACTCGAATAGACACTCCTCTACAGTTGAATATGGCACAATGTGCCCATGCATTGGGACCAGAAAGGATGCCAGATGTCCCCAGTCCATCTAGGACTTGTGCTTAGTCAAGAGGTGTAGACTTCGGACAGAAAGCGAGCACAGCCACCGCTACATTGTGAAGACTCAAAACCAGGCCAGAGTGTGGAAGAAGGCCATGTAAAGGATTAAGGAGAAAAGCTCTTCAGCAACATAGAGTCAACCCCCTCCTCCCTTGCTGGAAAGGCAACGTGAGTAACTGATGGGGCTCCCCAGACTGTCTGGGCACTGCAGTATCAGACTGAAGCTGTTTTCTTAATAAACTGGACAGTGAAAACCAGACTGGAGATGCTTTAGCCATTGGTAACTGGCATGAAAACTCAGACTGCACTTGAGCCTCTGGTTTCCTCTGCTCAATAAGAGCCTCTTTGCTCTGAACTATGAAAAAACCAGGAATGAATGTCTGGCTGCCACAGCCAGCTCTGATTTGCTGGATTTAGCATTAAACACTGAGTCCTGAGAACGCAGTTGGGATCCAGGAATGTTAAAAATCAGTGAACTCCTTCCCCTCTGTAGCTCATCAGCTTTCTAGCAAGAAAAATCACAACAGCGGATTAATAAAACCAACTGAGTACAAAACCCCCAGCTCACGCTCACAGGTTAACCTGTTAGCTGCTCTGAGGCAGATAGGAAAGAAGAAAAAGAGGAGCATACAGAGCACTGGGAAGGTTTGAATCCACCCCCTGTGCAGCCAGCCAACTGCCAGCCATTTAAGCAGTGCGGTGTCCTCAGACAAAGGGCAGCACTGGCAACAGAGCTTGAGCCTGGGCTTCTACCGTGTTCCCAAAGTCTCTATCATCTCCAGCCTCAAAGGGCTGAGTCCAGGTCCTGTTCTTACTGTTCTGAAACCCCCAGCTTTAGAATCAAGAGTTACAATTTGTAGCTTTACATTCAACAAAACCTTTCTAAACCATCCACGCTTTGCACTTGACTCCTGAGCTAAGCTGAAGAACAACTTCTAGAGAACAGCTCTTATGAGGAGTGGCTGAGGGAAATGGGGGTGTTTAGCCTGGGCAAGGAGGCGCAGAGCAGACCTTATTGCTGTCTACAACTATGTGAAAGGAGGTTGTAGTGAGATGGGTGTCAGTCTCTTCTCCCACATAAAACGCAGTAGGACAAGAGGACAAGTTGTGCCAGGGGAGGTTTAGAGTGAATATTAGGCAGGATTTCTTCACTGGAAGTGTTGTCAAGCAGTAAACAGACTGTCCATGGAAGTGGTTGGGTCATCATTCCTGGGAGTATTTAAAAGACTTACAGATGTGGTACTAGGGATGTGGTTTAGTGGTGAATTTGGCAGTGCTGGGTTAACTGTTGGACTCAATGATCTTAAAGGTCTTTTCTAATCTAAATGATTCTATGATTCTAAGAACACACACAGAAAAATGCAGCTCTCAATGAATGAGAGAGCAGGAATCCCAGGAGCCAGCAGGGCCTTCTCCCCAGCATCATGTTTTTGCAGCATAGCAGCATGCAGTCTGCTCCACCCACTGCCATCCACCTTTCTGGCTTAATTCCCTGTCACTTCAGCTTTGGAGGCAGGCCAGTCCTGTAGTCAGCTATAGTCATCCAAGAAGATAACCTGCTTACCTGCAATGCAAATACCTGAGCCTGCAAACTTGACCTTCATTTTTCTGCAAGCCTTGACGCAAGTGAAGCTCAGCTCTAAGTGACAAGACAGGGCACCTGCACTTTGAACACAGCCACACTCAGACATTCCTGACATACTTGCCCAGCTCTTGCTTTCCAGGCCCACAGAGCCTCCCAAGCCAGCCCACTGCAAAGGCAATCTGCATTCCAGGCATGCTCTGAAAGAAAGCAGAGGGCTGCAGTGCTAGCCACAGAATTCAATTCCACACATTTCCTATGACACAGCATCAATTTTGCTGATCCAGGGAGGAAATCTGCCTTGCTCAACCTGCCAGGAGCCCTGCTTGAGCAGTCCCTCTCAGAGATCTATTTCGTCATCTGTTATGATTCAGGAGAGGATCTGTGCTCTCCACCACAACACACTTTAGGTCTGAAGGCCAGGGTGCCAGCACAGGGCTTCTCCAGGCCGTCAGTGGTTCCCATACAGTTCATCCTCCTAGAGAAGCATAGCTAATTCTGAAGGTGAAAAAGGGTTTGAGTGAGGAAGCCTATCTGAAAGCACAACAAAACCTGGACTTGTATCCTACTCCCAAAGTACAAGAATCAGTGCTTCCTATGACGCTTACCATGTCAATGTCACTGGATCCAGCCCTTTCACAGTACTATCCTGTTGCAAGTAGCTCTCTTTGGTTTTTTGTTTTCTTTAGTTTCCAGTCTCTAACATCTGTTGTCCCTTCCGCAGACAACACAAGACATTGCAGAAAGCCTACAAACCATGTCAGGGCTTGCATGATGTGTATCTCCATGTAAAATGTTTCTCTTCCCTTGATTCCCACTGACTGCATTCCCAATGACAGGCAGGGACTGTTTTCATGGCAGACTGAGGTTCCCTTGCAAGAACACAGCACAGAGCGTATCCTTGCTTTTGACAATCGTCTCTGACACCAGTCAAACAGAAGCAGAGGAACATTCACATCTAAACAGTGAGAAAGACAAAGCATGTGCTCATCTGGAACAGCTGGCTTTGAGGGCCAGGACCCTCTGAGTGTCAGAAAGCAGAAGCAGCAACTGGAAGCAGCAGGCTCATTGCAGTTCTGGCTATTGCTGTGGGAAAGGAAGCCAGAAAGAGAGGAACTCCCTTGTGATGAGTTGGTTCTGGCTCCTAGCATCAGCAGTGTGAGCTGGAACAAGGGAGACTCCCATGTAATGAATCTTCTGTTGCCAATGATGAGCAAAAGAGGTTGGAATGAGTGGCCTCCCTCTGCAATAAGGTAACACCACCTCCTAACAAGGAAGGGCAGGAGATGCCTTCTAGAATGAGCGAGAACCTGCCAGGAGGATATAATAAAACAGGGCATTTCCCTGCCAGAACAACAGAGCATAGTGGAGCTGTCATTAAATCATGAAAGCAGGGCACATTGCCAAACTGCCCTCTCAGAAACCAGGCCCCACCTTGCAGGCTATCCCAGAAATATGCCTTCTCTGAGAGAGGTGGCTCCATCCTGTTCCCTTCCACCCAGCCCTGTCTGCGTATCTGTCAGGGCACAGTACCTGCGGTGAAAATCTGCGCTGCCACTGCCAGGAAAGCATCTGTCACCACTGTCTCCGAGTGCAGGGAGATGTTCAGTTGGCGGGCGATATTCCGGTAGACGTTGGGGCGAATGTATTCCAGCTCATCCCCTGGAAACAAATGGTCAGGAGTCAACATGCGGAACACCAAGTCCTGCTTTCACCACCTAGGAATTACAGCTGGGGCCACCTCACATATCCCTTCAGCCAAAGACTTAACCCCAGATCCACCTTAGTTTAAACAGGCAGCAGAGAGCCTAGGGTCATTTAAATGTAACCCCTGCTGCCTGCAGCCTGCTCTCCTAACATCCCCTGTGCTTGGGGGACAGACAATAGCCCTATACTAGTGGTGTAGCTGCAGTAATCCCCAATTATAAATGATGTTTCCCTGCTGCCTGTCTTTCGTCCAGTGCAGGAGACAGGCCTCAGATAAGCAAAGCCATCTCGTTTTTCTTTGGAAGTGGAAAAGAGGTATGCACATCTATGTAAGCTTTTGAGAGATACACCCTTTCTCAACATCCCATCAGACTTGTACAAAAAGCATCAAGATGAGAGTGACTCAAAAATGCTGGAGGCTGATGAAAGTCAAAGATCCACCCAGAGCTGCGTGACAATAATTGTGCAGAGGCTATCAGCTCAGCTGTTTTCCTCTCACACAGGCACTTGAGTGATGTTCTTGTCTTTCTCTCCTCCAAATGGTTAAAGAGATGTTCTTTTGCCTGGCTCACTCCTCGGCAGCAAGGCTGCTGACACACACAGACACATGCTTTCACTTCCAGGTTGTTTTTTCTCCAGCTGGGAAATGTTTGGAGGTGTTAGGCTGGCTTGAAGATGAAGATGGAAATACCAAGGACAAGCAGAGAACCTCCTCCCACAGGTTTGAGCTATGGAGCATGGGCAACAGCAGTGAAACTTATCCTCTGTGGCAAAACAAACCGGTTTTGAGCAGTAGAATTAATAAAGCCCATTATATATATATATATATAAAAATCCATTCCAATGGATTTATCTGTCTATTGGTGTTCACAGATATTTGATGAGGGTTGCACAGCTGCTGCAGGAGCATGACACAATGCATTCATTGCATGGGACCGAGGCCCTTTTCAAATGGAGAGTCTTATCTGGATTTAGAAGGACACTCTATGTCCTTCTGCGCAAGGGCGCTGTAGAGCACCCAGGGAAGAGGAAATCTGGCACAGCAGCCTTACATCCTGCTGCAAGACCCAGATGACTTGCCCCAGTCAGATGGCAGATTGATCCTCCTGAAAAATATCATTTTTGTGGGAACTAAAAAGGAAGATGGCACCCCAATCAGGAGCTTGTTACAGACACATTAGCTACTGATCCTTAAGTCATTTAGCTGGCACCCAGCACAGCATAGGCAAAGAGCAGCTCTACTGAATGCCACAGACAAGCTCTCCAGGCCCTTTATGAACGTGGGATTGTGTCACACAATCTGATGGCAAGAGGAAACCCTGCCAACATATGGTCAGCCCTGATACAGGAAAACCTCAGTTGCATTACTCAACAGCTGTTTTCTCTTGCAGGGAGCACACAGGCTTCCTGGTAAATGTAAGGAAATAGGGATAGCACTGCCTGTGGTTAGTGGAGATGGAGGCATGGGAGGGTGGGATCAGCACTTGGTAGCCTGCCACCGTTACAGTTTTTAACGAGCAGTGCCTGGAGGCCACAGATGAGATCAGGTTTTGGTTGGAGGCACATGTGTTGTTAAAGTGGGCCCTGCCCTGAAGCAATGCACAGGGCAGGCAAGAGCACTGACTGAAGAAAAGCACTTGGAAAGCAGTCCCAAGTTGAGGGAGACTGCCTGCCCAGGCAGCGCAGGTCCTCTCCAGCAGCACCATACATTGCTGGCAGTCCTTGGTGCCCATGTTCCAGTGCCTGACTGTACACTTTGCAACATCCAGAGCAATCTGTGTGCTTCTCCTTGTTCCTCCAGGAACTATGGAGGAACAGGCAGGACAGCAGTCACAATTCTCATATGCAGAAGCTCAGTTCAGTGGTAAAAGGGTACTTGTCTGGGCCTTAGCCGGAGGAGAGAGACATTCAAATAAACCAGACCTCTGACACCTATGGCAGGTTGGTCTGGGGTATCTCTTTGGCCATACCATTAAGTTTTACCACCTCTGACTCAATTGCAGTAGTTAGCTGCTAAGCCTCACTGAGCTGATGGGCTCTTGCTCCCCATGACTGCAAATGCATCACCTGTGCCCAGCACCTCTGCTCACCCAACAGCCAGTTCATCAGACTCTTTGTGTTCAAGAGAGCTAGGAAATACTCCAACTTCTCATCTCCATGGGCTTCTCAGCACTATCACTGAGCAAAAACTAGCCTGGCTTCTTGCACTGCTTAGCAAGCAGCTAAGCACTACCATTCCTGGCAGGTGGCTGGGTACTACTTGGACTTGTAATGGTTATAGCAGCAAAGGGGAAAAGAAGGACACAGGCTGTGTGGCAGGCAGAGCTTCTGAACAAACAGGATGAAAACAACTCTTCATCCTAACGAGGAGGACTGCTCACCCTTCTTGTCGCATGGGTACCACAAACAGATTTGTCAGAGAAGGTGCCAAGTTCCTGGGACTGTCAGCCAAATCTTTCCATCTGGACACAAGCAACTAACAGGAGAGTCATCCAGAAGACGCCTTCAGATGCAGTCTGCCACCTGCTTGCCCTTTAACATGTTCCTGGCCACCCACAGAAGAGCTGTGCAAACAGATCTCAACCCCCAACCCAGGCAGAGAAGAAATGGAATTCAAAGAGGCAGTGGGATTGACAGAACAAGAAGAAAACTCCAAAGATCAAACAACCACTGGAAACAAAAAGAGAAGTAAAATCATCATAGGAGAGAAAAAGTGGACAAGAACAAATGAAAAAGAAGTCACTAAGAAAGGGGAGAAAGAGGGGAGACCAGCCTGATCCTGAGTTTGTTAAGCCCAGCTAGAGATTACTTCACCAGACTAATTTGAACTTCTGTATGATTAAATCAGATGCAAATGTTAGTGGTAGTTTCCAAGCCAGATGTGAACTAATGTACTCGCCTGCAGGCAAAGAGGGATGTCAGAAGCAACTTCTGAGAATGAGGTCAGCATCCTGAAAGACAAACAGCTAGACTTTGAGTAGAGGAGGCTAAAACCTAAAGCAAAAGGCCAGGCAACTGTCAGCATTTAGTAGGTGCTGTTGTTGCAAGCACAACTCTAAAGTATGTCTTCAGGTAGCAGCCTACAGGCATAACCTTCAAATTGCTCCTCCTGCACCCTGGCAGTCACCTGTCCATGATGAGGGCTGGAAAGTTTGGGCAGTGTATGACAGGCAGCATCAGCCAACTCCAAGAAGAAGCAAGAAAACTCATGTTTTGCTACATGATTAAGGCAGGCAGAGGAAAATTAAGCACACTGTCATCATCCTGTCATTGAGAAGCAGCTTTTGCAAGATCTCAAGCACACATGGTCTAAGCAAGTACACCTTGCATCTGGGCAAGCAACTGATGAAGCACCGAGTCCAGAGGTAGCAGAACTCTACTAGATGGAAGTTTGGGTTGCATCATGGCAGACAAGTCACATCTGGAGAAAACAGCTGTTAAAGTGCCAAGCTGAGAAAGACTCCTGCAACTACTGTGAGAACCGTTTCACAGCTGGAGTCTTGTGCAGATAAAATTAGTTTGCTGTTGGGCTTTATTGGACTGCATCATGCTTTTAAGTCGTTCCAAGTCCTCAGAAAAAAAAGTATCTCTGCAGAAGCACTGCACTGAGCTGTGCTCCAAGGGACTGATAAAACGTAAGTAAATGAACTGTTTAGAGAATATGACTGAAACAAAATCTAAATGCCCAAAGCAGAGAAGAAAACCCTCTGTATCATCAACATGAAAAGCCTCTTGGCACTCATCAGTTCCAGAAACCTTAGCCTGGTCTGAATTGCTCCATACAGTTTCAGTTCCCACCCATATCTGCAGGCACTTACCCAGTCGCAGCAGTATGGTGGACACCTCAGCCAGCTTACCGCCAGGCACTGGTGCATTGTACTCAGGTTTGCTCCAGCTGACACCTGCTCGAATTAGCCTGGAATTGATGTAGTCTCTGCAGAGAGCCTTGGCCTGGGACACAAGCTCCTTGTCAGTGGGAGACCTGTCAAAAACCTCCATCACCTCTGCAGCAAAGACTGAGGAACGGCGCAGCACTTCCATCCTTGGCTGCTCAGCCTGCACCTCACCCCTTACACTTGCTGGAAGGCTGAGCTGGTGCCTTAGATGAGAATCTGCAGGAGCTGTGTGGTGATCCTCTGGTCTCTTGGTCTCATTTCACCTGGTGAATAGAAGAATCTGTGAGTCCTCTAGTGTTGCAAAGATGTAAATCAAAACCCCAAGTATTGCACCTTACAGTTATGCTAAACATAGTAGTGTCATATTTGCTAAACATCTGTCTCAGTGCATCTTACAGACAAGGGGCAAAGTCTTCCATCTTTCAGCCACTCTCACTGGCAGCATTACCCACAGAGGGGCTGCAGTTTTGAACTGTCAAGGTGTCTTTTCTTTCCCAGTTCAGATTCAGCAGTCCTAGAATTACCCTTCAGAGAGACTGGATGGTCAGAGCGTGGAAGCAATTCATAGAACATGTAGACAATCTCAGCTTGTTTCAATTAAACTGGAGAAAAACAAACCCTGAATCCCAAATACCAGCTCTGGTAACCTCAACCAGATGTCAGACTTCCAGCTCAGTAGGTCATGGATCTTTCTGAAGAAATGCCCTATTGCAAGAACAAGGGCACGGGAGCATCTGCAACATGCATACTATTTCTCAAAAACCTTTGGCAATAGCAGAGAGAGCAAACAGAAAAGCAGATTTTAAAGAAGTTTTAATGTGCAAATACCTAAAGAGAAAAAGAATTTTCAGAGGCACCTGGATTCATTTGTTGATTGGAGTTTTTTACCCAGCGCTGCCTCTGAAGTCAGAGTCAGACCAGTTTTATTCAGTTGTTAGTAAATGTATTTTTCAGTCCCCAGTTTTAGACATCTACTTACAACAGCGATTTTTGAACAAAATAAAACCAGTTATTTTTGTTTCTGCCAATGAAAAATACACTTACCTCTCATGTTGCACTCGTCCCCCCTCAGTGAATTCTTTTTGGGTTTGCCTTCATGCTTCTCTGGAAGATCTGCATCAATGAATACCTGGTTTAGCATTCATAGGATACTGTCACACTTGTCCTCTGTAGAGCCCCAGACTTCTCTGTCTCACGCTCTTCAGGGCTCACACCAGTGCTTCCTTCCCCCTTCCTGTCAGTCTCGCATCCCACTGCACTCCACCGGGATCCTCCGGGGTTGCTCTGCTGCTTTTGAGGCACTCAGGCGCAGAGGAAAGCTGCTAGCTTTGGCCTTGTAAGGAAGATGAAATAACCGGGAGGTGGAGTAGCTATAGCCAGGGAGCCACGCTTTCTCCTCCCCTTTCTTCTCTCTTAAGGAGGTTCTACTGCCAGCACACTGAGGCTTTGTTCAAGGACTCATTTTCGGGGCCAGGGCAGGAGAATGATTTCTGGTCCAGGTTATCCCGTCCTATGTAACAGGCAGAGAGGAATGCCCTGCTGAAACAGGAGTGGCCCCTGGTGAATTCCTGCGGTGGCTTTTCCAGAGCTGATGCTGGGTGGTCCTTTTCATACAATAGCCACATCGGGGAACTGCAGGTTGAACATGCTTCTGCAGTGGGCTAATCGCACCAGTTCAGTAGAAATGAGATGACTAACAGAGAGCCACAGCCCGGGGCTGAAGCAAGTGGTGCTTGTATTCCCCCAAACGATGAGTAGTCTGGCTAATGAAGTGGGAGTAGTTTGCCCAGAATGAAGTGCTTTGCAGGAACATGTCCATAACATTTCAGTGTTTTAAGAAAGCTAACATATAAAGTTTAAGGAAAACACAAGAAGTAGTTTTACAAATAGAAGTTTCCTGGAGACAAGAAATGATACCGGCCCAGATACAAATTCTCCCCAGCAAATAACAATGTGTACACTAACAACTGGGTACCTGGCATGTTCAAATTACAGCCTTTCCAAAAGGAGGTCAGAAGCAAGAAGTAGCTTCTGTCATCTCTTGCTTGTCACCTTTGAGAAAAGAGTCAAGCACACCTCTCAAAGGTGTTGATACCCAAGTACAAGCTTCACCACTGCCGGTCTCAAAATTCAGGGATAAAAAGTGAACTGCATAGAAGAGCATTATTATATGATGCATCAAATACTGTGGCCAACATCCAACACACAACTCACACACATGTCTTGACACAGAGCATGTGTTGGTCTTCCATTAACTGGACTGCTGGAAACTGCTTTGCTGCACTGGGAAAGGGGCTGCAAGGAGACTCTTCTCCCTTCAGCAACAGAACATCTTTCTGACCTGATTTCTTCTGAGAAAGGATCAGGTTAATAAGAGGTACACAGTGCAGTCAGCAGGGGCTGCTGAAATACATGATGTGATCATATTATGTTGGCAACAGTGACTGTGTATCTCCAGTTGAGAGAGTTGGGTTTGTTCAGCCTGGGGAACAGAAAGCTCTGGGGAGATCTTAGAGCAGCTTCCAGTGCCTAAAGTGGATGACAAATCTGGAGAGGTGCTTTTTACAAAGACATATAGTGACAGGACAAGGAGGGATGGCTTTGGGCTGACAGAGGGGAGGTTTAGATATTAGGCAGAAGCTCTTCCCTGTGAGGGTGCTGAGGCACTGGCAGAGGTTGCCCAGAGAAGCTGTGGCTGCCCCATCCCTGGCAGTGTTCAAGGCCAGGTTGGATGGGGCTTGGAGCAACCTGGTCAAGTGGAAGGTGTCCCTGACCATGGCAGGGGGTTGGAACTGGATGAGCTTTAAGGTCCTTTCCAACCCAAACCATTCTGTGATTCTATTTGCTCAAAGCTTCTCTCAGAAATGTGTTTTTATGCACCAGCCTCCCTCAAATTTAAATACAGTGACAATAGACAGATGCCTGTCCCATAGAAGCTGAAATCAAGATTCCTGAGATCCTGTGCTCCTGCCCGTCCCTCACCCACCCCTCCTCTGCAGACTGTGCCTGATGGTCTTTTGGAAAAATCATATTCGTGCCTTCGCAACTCTGATGGCTGAAAAAAATCATTGAAAATTATGCCTTAGCTTCCAGCAGCAGCTGACAACTTGAAACCTGGGTCCTATTTAAACTGTCCCTATTCAGTAGGGCTCTGAAACAAAGATGAATGCTTAAATATCAGTTCTGCTTAACTAATTATGTTTCCCAGAATTCTGGCAAATATGCAAGTGTCACGGTGCCTCCCAGCTCTCTGCGAGTGCCAACCCCATCCCACGTTGTTCCCTGCAGGATGCAGCACCTGCTTAACTTCCACCCTGCAGCAAACACACAAAAACTGGAAACATGAAGGCTGTGTGTAATAAACCAAATTTTATATATAAAAAAGCCCCATACAGCGGTGCATGGTTATATTATTTACACACTAAAAATACAGCATCACACTGAAAGGTAGCAGTAAAAACAGATGAAATCACAGCATGCAGTGTTCAGCTGAGCTGAAAAGAACAGAGTGTTACAATCCTGTCAGTGGATTGAGCTGCCAGTGTCATCTGACCCCCTTTTTCCTTAGTACGTTTAGGTTGTAACACTTAAGAGGCTGGATCTATACTGGAAAACCCTTGTGGCAAAGAAGTATCAGGAAACAGTGCAGAAACAACTTGTATCACCCCAAATCATTGTTCCCAAGGTAGCTATTGCTGGCATTACTGGATTGAAAAACAGGATCCACACCACAGTTCTGGCCACATTCGGTCACCCACATCTCCTATGGGGCCACCAAACCAGCTTGGAGCATTCATATTGCATTCATCACAGAGGTACCACTACATTTTAGAAGCATGTCAAGTGGAAACAAACCTAGGAGAAACCACATCAGCAAGCACACAGCAATAGTCTAAATGCAGGCAGCTTATGCGCAATATTAAATAACTTAGCTGTTAGAGCTAGCTGTGAGCACACTAAGCTTATGAAAGGCTCTGCATGATATGGTTTCCTGCAAAAGCACAAGAGTATCCCTGAGTGCCCTAGGAGGGAATTTGCAGCCTTGTTCACACAGCCTGGTTTCTATCAGAGGTATTGTTTTGTTTCACCTCTCAGTGCCAACCCCAGCTACTTCACACAGCCTACAACAACTCCATCAGGAACTGCACACTGCAACATAGATCCGATGTTCTAAACCACCTGCAGAGCAGGGACTTAGAAAGGCAGAGGGATGCCAGAGAGCCTGGGAACAAAGCCCGCTAGCCCCTGCCTGCTACAGAATGTTTCCCTTCAAAGAGAAGATGCTCTGGCACTGTAAACAAACCATCCCTGAACCTTCTTCTGCATTATCTCACCCAGTTATAACATACTGTCTTCTCTCCGCTGACTCTTTGTCTGATTTTTGCAGCAGTACTTCAGTTCTGTTTGTGCAGTTACCGCTTTCCACAGCAAAAACACCTCATGATGTCAAGCTTTAGGTTGCAAAACCATACAGGAGAAACGGGGAGGCTGGAAGGAACACTTCTTTGTGTACAGAAATAATTCTGCCAGCTGCAACAGGAAAACAATACATGGAAGTAGCAGCTTAATGGGACCCAAGCAAAACACTGGGGCTTTTTGAAACTTTCTCTTGCTTCTGAAGGGCTTTATTCAAAACCTCCTAAAAGCCAAGCAGTTGTTTGTATTACAGGTGATAGGAACACCCTGGAGCACCCTTCCTGGAGCAGGATTTTGCAATGCCAGGTGTCACATCCCGTACTAAAGAGGCCGTGTCACTGTGAATGTATCTTCCACAGCCTTTAGACAGTTCTCCTTTGTGAGAATGTGGGTGTAGTGACTTAAACCCATCAAGTTTAGCTATCAGACCACTACTTAGATCTCTGACAAAGATTAGCACTGATACACGGTATTTTCTTCTCTTAATCATCTATAGTGCTCACTACCACTGTAGACACAACTTCCTTGTTATATGTGTGTTTTGACAAAGGCAGAACAAAGATACGATGTACTCTGGAACTGATGGACAAGCACAGTGAAGGCGAAAACATAGCATGAATTTGTTTTTTTGTCTCATTCTAGCCCTTTATCACCCACAAGGGTTGGGGATCATTGCACACTTACACACAAGATACACACACATGGACAGGTGAAGATAGGCGGGTGCCTCTGCCTGCAATGACCCTAAAATCTCAAGAGCCTGAAGTGGGTGCAGGCACTTCTGCACTAGCTCAGCAGCATTTATGAGCTCTGACACATTTATCTGCTGCTTTGAGACACGTGCTGGTGCACAGATATGTCCTACGCAGGAATATGAGTTTCTGGATCTGATAATCACAAGGCAGGACTCTTTACCCGGCACACATCTTTGTGCCCTAAGCATGCTCCAAGGGATTTAGACTCAAATTCTGCATACCCAGAATGTAACACTAGTTTTAATTAAACCCTTCACTGATTTCAGAAGGGGTGATTTCAGGCTCTTCACTCTTGGCCTCTAGTGCTGGGCAGGGCAACAACTATGCTTTTCAAAAAAACCCTGTCTTTTCAAGTTGACAGACAAACAGGGTAGGCTGATGCCTCCAGTCTGCACAGATAAAGTTTGGAGTGTGATTGCTTCATACGCAGTTGATTATACCATACCGCATTTAGGCCATTAGGATGGAGATCCACCCTGATTGCCAGCAACGTTGTTTCTACACACTTGATACACCTCAAGACTTTATGGAGCTCCATGTTGACAAAAACTTTCTTCAAGATTGCTTTGGTTGACAAGATTTACCCCTCTTACTCAGTGGGGCAGTATAGGGCTATTTTTTTGGCAGCAGTTAGCTAAAGCAACCTTCACATCCAGCTGCTCATACCCATTCCCAAATTGTCCTTCCTCATTACGCTGCTATAATTTTGTGGTTGCTGGCTTCTTGTTTTCATCCAGATGCAATAAACCTTCCATCCAAAGAACATCTGCAGATAGAGTTGAATTAATACTACCAAGGCAGCTGCAAGCAGAAGGAAACAATTTCAGCTTTGCCATCAAGACAAGCATCCATGAAACTGTAGCACTAGTATCGTTCCTGCATATAAAAATGCAGGTGTGGTAATCTGGTCCACTGCAGAGGATGGAGAAATGCTGACAGAAGGTTCTCAACAGATCCTTCTGCAAGAGGAATGATTGGTGGGCATGGGTGGGTTTCCCACCTCTTTCAAGGTGACAACTTTCATGGCTCCTGACGAAAGAGGTTTTAACTAAAAAGTGCAGGGGGGCGAAGGAAGAAGGAGGAAGGGGAGAGACATATGGCAACATTTTGTTACCTGACATTGAGATACCTGAATCAGCCTTATACAATAGCAATTCCTTCCTTCTAGCTGAAATATGAG